TGTAACGATAAAAACTATACATACGGCACCAAAGTGTAAGCAAAGCAGCAAACACGAAGCCCTTTCGGTTAAAATGTCAGTAGGTGTTAATTTTAACAGGAACGCAACTGCCATTAACAGCCATGGACAGGTGTAATGTCTTGATAGAGTCTTCAAGAACGAAATGGCAGACCCACTGAAACATGGGCGTTGGTGGCGCATACGTCTAAGCCCAGCACTTGGGACGCAGACATAGGTGGCTCTCTAAGTTCGAAACCAGCCTGGTGTAGCCAGTGATTTTTATTTTGTACAATCAGGGCTCCATACTACGGTGCTGTCTTAAAAGAAAAAGTAATTGAACCTTGTCTGGAATCTCATTCCAGACATTTTTTGGTTACTCCTGGTACTCATCTCAATTTTAGCTCACCCAAGGAACTTCGCTTTGGTAGCCCTTACAATGACGAGGATATATTTCATGTGAACAAGGCAAGCTTCTTGTCCTGTTAGCTCCCGCGGTTTTTGCAGAGTTGGACACATAAGATGGTGTTCCTATTCACAACCATTTGTTTTGTGTTTCTTTATACATTTCAGTTTTTCTTTGTTTGGATGAAGGATTTGGAGTAATATGATTCTCTGACTACTTACAGGCTTTTGTTTTCTAATCCCTTCCTAGTCCTGTTGTTGCTAGTCTTTTTGGACAGGTATTTAAAAGTTGCTCTAATGTTTCAATTTACATACAGCAATGACACATATTCACAATAAGACATGTAATGACAAGAATCTAAGATAAGTTCCTGAGACTCCTAAAATATAGATGTCCTTAAAATAAATATTTTTTAAAAAATTATACAGTCTTGGGTAATTCATACATAAATACAATGTACCTAGAGCATATCAATTCCTACTTCCACTGGGTACATTCTATTCTATTGGATTAAATTCCCTTTTATTAACATTTTTTGGAAATTGTTAAAATAAGAATTTTTTAAAGATAACTGGATATTTTTTATGGCCAAAGATATACCTTGCGATTCATCCCACAGAAGATTAGTGATTACAATATACCAAAAAAACCTTCAAAAATAATACATTAGGAAAATAAATAATTCAATTAAAAATGGGCCGTGGAACTGAATAGAAAATTCTGAAAAGAAGAAATGCAAATACATAGGAAACATTTTTAAAGTGCTTTTATCAGGGAAATATAAATTAATACTACTTTACAATTGTACTTCACCCCAGTCAGCGTGGCCAAGATCAATAAAGCAAATGACATGCTGGCAAGGAGGCAGAGAGGGGAGAACAATTATTTATTGCTGCAGGAGTTCAAACTGGTGCAGCCACTATGGAAATCTGTGTGGAGGTTCCTTGGGAAGCTGAAAATTGTTGCCAGGCATTGTGGCACACACCTTTAATCCCAGCAATGGGGAGGCAGAAGCAGGTGGATGGATCTCTGTGAGTTTGAGGCCTTACAGAGGTGAGTTTCAGGCAGAAGCAGGCAGATCTCTGTGGGTTTGAGGCCCACTACTAAGTGAGTTCCAAGACAGCCAGGACTATGACAGAAAAACCTTGTCTCAAAAAACAAAAACAAAACAGCAACAGCAACAAAAGCCGAAAATAAATTTACCACAATTACCAGCTACACCACTCTAGGCAAATATGCAAAGGGTTCTGTATCCTATTACAGAGATAGGTGCTCATCCATGTTCATTGCTTCTCTGTTCATAATAGCCAGAGATTGGAAACAGCCCATATTTTCCTCAAATGATGAATGGATAAATAAAATGTGGGAAATTTACACAATGGAGTATTATTCAGCTGTTAAGAAAAATAAAATTATGAAGTTTTCAGGTACATGGATAAAGCTAGAAACAATCCAAATAACCACAGAGGTTAAGTATCTAGTAAGGAACCATGGGGAAGGGTGGGATCTTCCAAGGAAGAATAAATAGAATATAGTGTTATAGAAAGATAAAAGGGAAACTAGAATAAGGAGAGTAAATTGAGAGGAGGATGGAAAGCCAGGGTAAAGGAAGAAATATGAGGGACAACTAACAGTAAAGGCCTGTTCTGTGAGATAAAAAGCATACTTGACACTGTTAATGAGGCCAAGAGCCTGAGACTAGATAGGTCAAGGGCTTAAGGGAAAGCCTACTACTATTATTCTGCTAAAGAAACACAGCAATAAAATGACTCCTAACAACATACTGTTAGCCCCATATATCGGTGCATCACTCATTCCTCATCAGACAAGCTTCTTCTTGAAGTAGATGGGAATTAATACAGAGACCCACATGTAGACAGACTTTTCTTTCTG